GAGATTTGTAGGCTATCATGGATGTGCAGTCAGCAAATCTGCAGCAGCTTCATGATGCTATTGTGTCTCATTAGCCAGAATCTCAGAGAATTTTTTCCACCTTCTTGTCGAATCTATAATGAGAAGAATTAATGTGGTTCTGAAGGCAAAATGGGGTCCAACCTGGTACTAGCAAAGATCTGCAAGTAGGTTTTAAAGGGATGGTCCACCCAAAACTGAAAATTCCATCAGCATTTCCTCAGCCTTTGCTTGTTCAAAAATGATTTGACTTTCTTTCTTCTGTTGAACACAAAGGAAGACGTTTTGAAGAAAGCTGTAAACTTGTAACCATTGACTTTTGTAGTATTTGTTTTTTCCTACTATAGAAGACAATAGACACCAGTTTTCAGCTGTCTTCAAAATATCTTCGATTTGGTTATAGGGTAGATAGGATAAAAATAAAGATAGGATTGGAACCCTGAGAGTGAAAGTACATATAGAGTATATTTAGATTTTTGGGTGAACTATCCCTTTAAATCAAACATTTGTTTTCAGGAATCTTCAATGAAATGACTTTTTCATGATTGAAATCTTCCCATTTGCTTTTCTTTTGTGTAAGTAATCGTATTTGAATTGAGATTCAAACCAAGAAACAATGAATCACAAATATCCTACATGGACTTGGTGTTGATTATATTACCATAGACAAGTGAGCTCTTGAAGAGCCTATGAATAATTGCCACTTGACTACAGTCTCTGTCTCCTTGGAGGATTGAAGAAAAATAAATGCGATCTGAAGTCCAGATGAGTCATATCTAAAAGAAACTGAAATTGTTCCTTCTCACAGCGGTCTTGCCATTTAGCAGATAGATTAGCTAATGCTACGGTGAGGCTAAATAAAGAATTTGGTACTTCCATAAAGTCTGAGCAAGTTATAGCATAGGCCCTGTTTCCAATCCTGTTCTTATTAAAGGATTAACTCAGCCAAAATGAAAATTCTGTAATCATTAACTCACCCTTCAATTGTTCCAAACCTGTTTAACTTTCTTACTTTTGTCAAACACAAAAGAAGATTTTTAGAATGCTGGAAATCTCTAACCATTGTATTTATTTTTTGTACTACAGAAGTCAATGGTTATCATCTTTCTTCAAAAGATCTTCTTTTGTGAATAAAGAAACTTCTAAACAACTTGAGGGTCAATAAATTTCATAGTAAATTTTTGTGTGAACTATAAATTTAAGATGTCTTTTTGTTAATTTGTTGACAAGTTCATGGCACTAAATACATGTGTAAATGGGTTTTTAAATGTTTTGTGCTTGTGGACTTACAAGCAGTTCCAGATGTTGTCGAAAACTAATTTGAATATGGATTACTTTTGTCCAGCAAACACTCATGTGGTTTTCTGTGCAAACAAAAATGCATTTAAAAAACCTTGAAAGATACCTGCTTTCTACCTACTGACTTAGCATTAAAACAGTACTGGATGAGTTAAAGTGTACTAGCCACACGTTTAAATGTAACCTTTTAAAATCATAAGTTAAGCGTTACGAAATAATTTCAAGAGGATCACGTGATTGAACACAGCTGGTCTCACATTAACAATCATCAATAAACCTATCAGACGTTTCCAACCTACATAAATAGCCCTTTTTTCGACCTCTCTTATCTTTGTTTTTGTAGAATCTCCCCATCCACCCCATCTCACCCTTTTCTTCTTATACCAGGGGGAGCTCTCGAGACCTACCTGATCTCGGACCCCCTTCTATACTAAATGTATCTCCGAGCTCAGGGTACTCTCCCAGGACAGCATGCCAAACCTTTAGTAAATATCTAGCATTAGCTTCAAAATTTGGTTTGAAGTCAAGACATTAACAAAAGTGATCTTAATTCCAACACAAACCAACAGAGAAGTTTCAACAGAAGCTCAGTAACATTCAATCTTTTTCCTAGAGACTGTTTAGACTACCATGTCACTGATGAGAAGATCAACTCTATGCTGACTGAAATCATCAAATGGCCTTAAACAGTTACTAAATGCACTTAAGAATGTTTCATTTTCAAATACATGCACATATGTTTGTGCTTTACGAGCTTGGTTTGCACTGCCAACTGAGTTGTAGTTTGTTGGTCAGGGTTCAAATGGCATTTTAAGTGTTAACATGTTTTCACAGCTAGATTTTTGCCAATTAGGTTATACAGATTTTCCTCCGCATGTATACACATCAATCTTAAGCTGCATTTTTAATTTGCAGGGTGTACGTTGGATTAAGGTTCACAGCATAATACACACTACTCATTATTTATGAGCAGACATGGGTCGGTATAGGATTCTAGCAGTATAAAAACATTGGATAAAAATATCACTAAAGTGTGCATCCAATGGATGCTGTGTACTATCCCATGATGCACAGTGAGAGAATTAATGAATGGGAGTAAAGCAGGTATGTCATGTGATGATAACAAAATGGCATCTGTAGTACATCCAAGTTCCATTCATACTTCTCATGTTCATATTGTGTAGAGCGTATTTTTCTTGGTCGAGTAGTAAATTCAAATTCAACTGCAGTACCTACTGAGTAGTAGGCAATTTCAGACACAGCCAATATGTTTTATTTTAAAAAACATTTGTAAATATTTTGGAACATTAAACATATATGGATATATCATCTCCTGGAGATACTGTTGTGCTTTTTAAAAAAAAATATAAAACCTTACATATACCTTAGGAACGGTATAGCCAGCCTGATCTCACGAGAAAACATAAGTATTTTAAGTTTTGGCAGTTTAGTGGCTAATTTGTACAAATTCGTACGAGTTCAGTCGTAAGAAAAAATTTAAGATTTTAAAAAGTAGGCGTGGCACCTAACCCCACCCCTAAACCCAACCGTCATTGGGGGATACGCAAATCGAACTAAATGTACAAATTAGATCGTACAATTTTGTACAAATTAGCCACTAAATGAAAAAGTTACGAATTGCCGTGAGATTGTGTTGGTATAGCAGAAAATATTGGTGGTTTTAAAACCTTAAATTTTTCCAAAACCACGGTATACCTTGAAAACGGTTATCATCCCATGCCTATGAGTATTTTTATAAGGGCCAAATTTTTGTCATACCTTAAGTAATATTGAGCTCATATACTTTTACTCTACTTGCAGTAAATGTAATGATACTTTTACATGATTTAGATTTATTTATTTTTTTTTTTTTTCAGTATTCTTCCCACCACTACCAGTACAGTCAGTTTCTTTAGTGTTACTCACTGCAGCAGCTGTTTGCTTTGCTTTGGCTTTATAGGCCACTGTATAAGGAATTATTTTTGGGTATGTCACATTTTACTTTATTTGTTACTTATAGCATCCTGCACCCACTAGTATTTTTTTTTTTTTTTGATATTGTGCAAACTTATTCATGAATTTTGGAATATTGCATCAAAAGTGCATACATATTATAGTTATTCCAGAACTGTGGGTACATTTTATGCATTAATTTGAACTGCAAACATATACAACAAATGTATCATTTACAGCTAACCAAATAAATTATTAATGTAAAATATATTAAATACAATGCTTACATCTGATAGCGAACATTTGATTCGATTACTGGTGTTTAACTTATTAATTGAAAAAAATATATACTTTTGCTGCTTGTTTAAACTACTTATTTAAAATGAGTTGAAACAACACAATTCTTAAAGTTTTTTGGGGGACAACTTAATTGTTTAATGTTCATTTCACTTAAATTAGAAAAACGATTAAGTTAACCTAATCGATTTGTGTTGGGACAACATGATGGAATTGTGTGGTACCCAGCATTGTTTACAGTCATTTAAAACCATAACAGTTAACAACAATCATTTTCCACCATTTTGTGCTTTATTTTAAGATGCTAAGCTCAAACCAGACACCACATGGCAGTCTAAAACAAAATTGTATGTATACTTTTTTCATAGAATTGCTTTTTTTGAATGTTAATAAGAGTTTCACAGAAATCTAAATAATATTTGACATAATTAACCTTCTATTGGTATATTCTAAAATTTTTGCCCTAATTAATGAAAAAAGAATAATGTCATATATCAATGCCTTCTAGAGTTTCACTTAAAGCAAGTCTATGAGCACTTTAAATTTTGTCATAAAATGAATGCAAAGACATTTCATTCATCCCTTTTCTTGTCAGCTTAGTTCCTTTATTAACCCGGGGTCGCCACAGCGGAATCAACTTATCCAGCACATTTTTATGCAGCAGATGCCCTTCCAGCCGCAACCCCATCGCAAAGACATTTGTCACTTGTTTTTTTTTTATGCATTGTATCGTTGTTCTGGAGTGATTCAAGTTCATATGGCTTTTCCAAGGTTAATATGAGTGGTAATTTGCACCTTAAGGAAATTATTTGTTATTTTGATAGCCAAAACAAATCGTTAGAAGCCTCTATGAACTTTCTTATACTTGCTGGGAAATACTTTTTTTATACTTTTTTGTGTGAAATAGATTTAATTTAATGAAATCTCTTAGATTAATTGATAATAAGAAATTTGCTTCTTTCTTAAGTAAATATGATGAGATCTATCATGCTACTTAAATTTTTGTGAAAAAAAAAACATTTTTTTTTTACTTGCATCATTATTTGTTTATGTACTTTATCCCACTTTGCTTTTTCCCCTTATTCAGTTTATTTAATGTGAACTGTTCCCTTTTACTGTATTCTAAGTTGTATTGCACAGTTAACCAGAAAAACCAGAGGTGACCAGAGTGAAGAACTCAATGTCTGAATAAAAAAGTTTTAAGCTAATATTTTATGACGAAATATCCCATTTTTATTTTATTATTTATGACACACAAACGTTATTTTTTAGAGATACAAATTGTTATTATTCAAAATAATTTCATTAATGTTTTCAAAAAATTATAGATTTATCTTGAGAGAACCTCAAAGAAATGAGGAAAGGAGTCCAATGTGGACAAAATAGGATCATCCTAATACCAGATATTTTGTCCTCGTTCTTTGTTCCTGCAGATTTATCTGAAGGAGATTCTTCGTGAAATTGGAGTATATAATTCCAGAGGGCCTCATAAGAGCACATGGGAACTAAAGCCAGAGTATCGGCACTATCAGGAGGGACAAGAGGAGGAGAAAGAGGCAGAGAAAATGGAGTAATCCCATGTAAAAACTTGTGTTGTGTTTAGTTTATTGCAACTGTTGTTTCTTTCATACCAGATTTGTATTAGTTCCTTGTTCTTTTCCAATGATGTCAGTATATATATATGAAACAGAATTGTTTTTCTTGAGTTATATAACCTAAGTGTTTCTTTAAGAGCATTATGAAATGAATACTGTAATTTGCATATGACTCTTGTATTCCTTGAGTTGAGTGCACTTGTGTTGTGGTCCACAGGAGCATATTAATAACATTAATGAAAATGCAAACACCCTTTGGAGATTTATTTCTCCTTCGGTTTAATAGTTTATATAACTCCTGTCAGTAACAATTCCGATGCTGCGCAATTTAACAGATGGGCAGATATAATTATACAGAAGAGACATATCACACAATACCGCATCCAGGTCACACTAGAGTTGTTAGAAGAAAAAAATATATTTTATTAAGTTGAAGCCTATTTTAGGACCATTAGATTTTCAGTATTATTGGAAAATTCATTAACATAATGCCTTTTAGCTTTTCTGCAATTAGCATTATTTTTTCTCAATAGTGTTTACTCATGACGCTAATTTGTTTCAATTTAAATAAGCACTGAGGCAACACACAAAATACTTTGTATTTAAGATCTTGAGGGTTGAATTAATATTGAGCATTTATGGATAAATAATTGTATGATCGCAAAATCTTTGGAGTCAAATATTACTTACCAGGTTTCCAATATATTTTGTCACCCTCTAATACATAATTTTAAAATACAAACCTAATGTATAGACAAAACAAAACACAGTGTTATTGGAAAGAGAATGTTAAAAGATGCTACACTATTAAAAAATTCAGGTTTTATTTTCCCCCATTTATTTATGCTTTTAAATAGGATTACGAGACCTTAATCTTTCTTTGAACAATATTTAATCTTGAAAAGTTCAAAAAAGTTACTTCTATTAAGATTTTTAGTTGCTTAAAGTGCTATATTCAGGGTTGGTGTTGTATATTACAGTACAAAATCCTTGTAATAAACTGCCAGTACATTTTCTGTTATTTTAGACGTATTTCTCTCTATATTATTTCTTATATATTATTTTAAACTATTAAAATGTCAATAAAAGTCACTTTGTTAAACTGCAGAGTTGAATTTTCAACTTCAAAAGTCAACAGATTAACGTCCCACAATTCACAACTGTAAATAAATGGAAAATCACAAAGTACCCAAAACGGAAATGAACAGGTATTAGGTTCCCTATTAATGATAATAATAAATGAATTAATGGTATTTTACAGTTTAAACTAATATGTTCCATATAATATATATTTTCAATGTGTATTTTTTGTTTTAGCGGTTAATCCTGATTTAAGTGTCAGATGATCCTTCAGAAATTGATTTGTTCAAGAACATTGCTGATTATTTTACCAATTACTAATCAATATAGCAAACAAACAATGGTATCACTTAAGATTTCATTAGGATTTTTTTAACAAATTAATGCTAATGGATACTTCTCAGGCATGGATTGGCTAATTGGGAGTACCGGGCGAATTCCCGGTGGGCCGGTCCGTTTTTTGGCCGCGAGGGCCGGTGTCCCTAGCTGCTTGCACTCTCAGCAGTCGCACTTTTTTCATTTATTTATTTACTTGACCATAGCCTTTACTCTTTTTATTCAGTATTTTGCCGCAGCTCCACTCTTTTTATTTATTTTCTCGCAGTCCTGTGAGCAAAATGCAGCCTGCAGGTTAATGATAACAACGGCACCTTAGCGATTACAAGAATTTGAATAATTAATATGAATGAATATTACACCTGCTCAATGAAAATCAGATGATTCACTACAATAATAAATCTGACATAACCTGATCAGAAATCTAAAAATGGGAGAAAAAGTTTAAGCCATAAATAGAAAGTAACACTGTGGTAAAGTCTTGCAGGTAACAATGCAATACTTTTTATTCCGAAGGCAGCAGCATTATACCGCCATTGTGGTCCAGTGGTAAGCACCACCGACCCAAGTTCAAACCTCACCTAAATTATATATATATATATTTTTTTTTTTTTTTTTTTATTTTTTTGTGTTAAGACATAATACTGTATGGGTTACTTATGTACGTGTACATATTTTATTTTTATTGTGACCACCTTTACAAAGGACTGGATTTGTATTAAGAATTTAGCACAGAATAGGCTGTTTAATCAAATATTGCAGGAAGGGACATTGTGATGTTTTAAAGCAGGGGTCACCAAACTTGTTCCTGGAGGGCCGGTCCCCTACAGCTTTTAGCTCCAACTCTAATCAAACACACCTGAACAAGCTAATCAAGTTACTAGGTATACTTGAAACATCCAGGCAGGTGTGTTGAGGCAAGTTGGAGCTAAAGCCTGCAGGGAAACCGGCCCTCCAGGACCGAAATTGGTGACCCGTTTTAAGTAGTGTTGCAGATTTAGCTACACTTTAATGTTCTCATATTTATGAAAACATTTTAAGTTCTAAAGCAGCTGTTTTCTTAAAAAAAAAACATGATAGTGTCATTAGAAAATAAATTGGAAATGACATTGTTTTACTTTAGTCAGTCGTGAACTGAGGTGGGCCGGTATGAGGCTTGAAATGCCAGGGCTAAAAAGGAGTCTCACTGTGTGGCCCTGTAACTTCTCTACCATTGACAATCAGTTTTAATCACATTCGCTTCTTATAATAAAAAATTCAATTGATTTATAACTAGTGACAATTTAAAAAGTATAAATGACTTCTCCATTTCAATACATTTTACAATGTTTTTCATCAGTGTCCCATGAGGTCACAGAAATTGATAATCTGATTTGTTTAAGAACATTAATCTACCATTTACTGATCAACATGCAAACAGGGTTTCATAAAGTGAAACTTAAGACTTTAAGACCTTTTTCAGAACATAATGAAATTTTAGACTTCTACAGTCACACACACACACACACACACATATATATATATATATATATATATATATATATATATATATATATATATACATTCATATGTATATATATATATATATATATATATATATATATATATATATAAATAAATAAAATGGTTTTTAGCAACAGTTTGTCTCAATGCAAGAAAACTAGCGGTCTACACCATTTTTTAAAATGTTTTTTCTTTTAAATGACAAGTTTACCATTGTTATAAGTACATTTGTTGCAGAAGCAATTACATAATCAAAAATATGCTTTTGTTGAATTTTGGTCCAAATTGATGGAGTAGAACATCTTTAACATAATACAATTCTGTTATGAAAACTTGTTTCATGTTTATATAAAAATGTCTACTCTACTACTAATAGTTTTTGTATTAATAATAATGTTAAATATTAAATTGCTATTATCACGAGTAACTGTAATTGTTTTACGTTTTCTTTCCCTGATTTTATTAAGATGGATTGTTGGTAGATTGGATGGATATCAGCTCCATTGGGTAGCTTTACGTGGCCAGAGGAATATTAAGACCGGTTTAAAATGATTTAAGACACACAACACAATACTGCACTTAATTTAGGACTAAGGCCTAAAATTGTGTTTCTGAAATTAAAGACATTAAGTCGTTTAAGACCCTGCAGATACCCTGAAACAGTGCCACTTTTAGGTTTTATTAAGCTTATTTGAACTAATACAACATTATAAAATGTATCCTTTTCCCCCTACTTTATAAATGTCAGTCTCAGAGAAAAAAAACAACAACCACAACTTAACAGTGTTCATAAAATGGCTTCATAAATGCATATAAACATTACCCAGATGCAATTAAACTGCAGGCATTAAACATTATTAATTGGGGAATAAAAGAAAAACCTACAAAACTGCAGCATTCATGGTTCGGGTGCTCTGGTGGATATTTATTATGTAATAGAAAAATAAATCATAGTAGAGAGCATTAGATGACAACATTAATGCACGATTACACACCAAAAACCACACATGTACATTTGTGTTCATCTGGGCTTTCTCTCCCAGCTCGCTCTCAAGTGTGAAAGTCATGTGTGGTAGGTGCTGTAGGTGTGAATCTTATTCCATCACCACCTTCATACTATTTTTTTTTTTTTTTCTCCAGCATTTCGGCCCTCCACTGTTATCATCAGATAGCTGGATCAGCCCATGCCATCTGGATTTATGGTTTACAGCCTGCAGAAAAAACGGAGAGAAAAATCGGTCAAAAATAGAGTCTTCAGACCTTAGAGCTTACAAACCTACATGAAAACATGTGCTCAGGTAATACATGCGATTATGTACTTTCACTGGTCGTGACCTCAGCAATTTTTAGTCATCATTGCACATCAGCTTGACATTCACTTGTTGCTAAACTATTTGCAATAAATGCACATTTAAGATAGTCGCAAGCATCATACCTTACAATCCTTTACGATACATTATTATTTTCTGCTTTGTGTGCCACAGCTTGTATTCATCCAGGATTTAATGCTATAAACCAAAGGAGATAAAAACAGCATTAATCTCATTCACCAACATGTAAACCGATAGGTATAATATCAACCATAAATGCATATTCATGAGGCAGAAGGGCTCTTGACATAGCGAGCACTCATATGCTAATGCAGTACCTGATGGACAGGTAACAGCCGCCTTCTGAATGTTAAACGCACTCTCATTTAATGGGCATCTTTCCTATGCTCTCCACAGATGTACAGACCCCGCAGAGAGCAACCGGCCCACGTCCACACTCCTGTGGCACATCTGAGGAAGAGGAGGGTCAATTAGTCGTCATTACTCGATATACATTTAATGCTCATAACGGTCAAAAACTAGCATAAATGTTAGTAGAGCAACACTTCAACTAGGTCAGGGGTTCCCAAATTGTGCCAGTGACCCCCAATATCCTGAGGTGGTTATAAATATATAAACCTTGCATACAACGGCCAACACATACCAAAAGGCCCAAGTTTATTCATGACTTAAATGAGGAACACCACTCGGAGACCATCCTCCATGTTCAGTTGTGGCCTGTATTTATTTTTAATGTACACGAGAGCCATAAAGGTGTCAAAATCAATGTGCGGTCTTTTTAATATAATGTAGTCACACCAGGGGTCACAAAACAAATGTAAAGGCTGAGAGCTTATTATTTGCACATTGTTGTTATTTTATGTAACTAGTAACTACTATTTATTTATTTTTTTTACTTCTGTAGGTTACGAATAAAATATGACAATTCTAATAGGTTAATACAAAGAATTGATTTTTGAAAATTACAAATCTACGGTGTATTTTTCCTGCTGCAACCCCTTCTTTGGGAACCAGGTCAGTCTAGGTCAGTGTAATACATTTAAAACATGTGCAAGTAATAAAAAGGGAGTTCATTGGAATACAAGCTTCATTGGAAATTACACGGACAATGCAGTAGTATTTACTATACTAAAAACTTATACCAAGTACAAAACATGGTATATTACTAAATTACTTTAAAAGAAAAAAAAAAAGTCATTAATTATGTTAATAAGGAACTAATAACATTACACTTAGCTCATAACATTATAAATTAGCCAAATAATTCAGAGACAAACATAACTGCATGCGAGGCTTGTAATGCACCTTTTTTTGGGGGGCAAATGAATTTGCCCTAAATATTACCCCAATTACAGTACTAAATACTATTAAAAAGGAGAAAGTATTTGAATGTGTTTAACGGTCATTTTATTTTAGCTTATACAATGTATATTTGCTTGAATTGAGGTAAAGTTGGTTTTATACTTGCATGTTCAGGCTATAATTCAATATAATTTCAGAAATGTTTTCACTGCTTTTAGCCACCAAAACAAAACATTGTTTAAAATAATAATAATAAAAAAAAACTGCACAAATGTTGTTTAAGCCACAATTGCAATTTCAGACAGACTATTCAAAGTAGAGTGTTGAGTTCTTACTGTTAAAAATAAACAAACGTGTGAAATTAAATTTAACGTTACCTCAATTTTGCACAAACACAAATGTTTGATAACTATTTTGTAAAACAGCTCCGTGTTAGAAACTTAGGGTATCAACATTTGCATGATCAAAATAATATAACTTTTTTGTTATCAATATTTATGGGCAGTTTTTATGTTGAATTACTAAACGTTAACGTTAGCTGAAACAGAACCGTATTATAAGAAATGCTAAAAAAAATCTTCTGTTAACCATGAGGTAAAGACAAAGTAAACCTGTACATCTGACCAAGCCAAATATATTTTTATCAAGTCGTTTTTAATGGTTCATGATGTTCGTGGCATGGTGGTGGTGAACACGTGTTAGGCCACCACAAACCCTGCACAATGTAACATTAACAATCTATAGGTCAACTCTAAATCTACATGCGTCTAAAATCATTTAAGTTTAGATTACCTTGTATGCTGTCTTGATATATCATTGTATTGTACTGTAATTTGGTCAGTGATCTCATAAGTTTGTCTCTGCTGCAGGGATTGCGTCTGTTTCTTCAAGCTATTCTTCGAGAAAGGCTGAGACTCACTCTGCTCGGGTTTAAAAGCAGCAGGAAACGCATCACGCAACACTCTCCGCCCATCCAGTGGGCACGCGCGCCCTCTACAGGAGACAAACAACACACACTAAACTAGAGAATCTGAAGTCCTCAGGTAATTATTAATAGATTACAAGTGAATTCCGTTCAAATTTACATATATTAGTGAGATCTAAAATACCCAAGGAAAACTACATAATATTAATAAACAATTTTTGCCTCTTCCAGTGAAAAAACACCAGCCTAAAAACTGACCAGGCTATCAACATGATTTCCCATCCTGTTTAACTGATTTTAGAGAGGGTTGACAACTTTATTTGGCTGGTAAGCTGTGAGAGCTGGTGTGAGACCAGCTAAACCATACGAACACAAGCCTCATTCAAATGCTCAATTGTACCAAACACATACATGCTGCAAAACTATTTTCATTCAACAATCCAACCTTCTGGCTGTAAGAAACACTTAAAAAGAAAAAGAAAGAACACTGTAGTCAATAACAACTGTTTTTACAGATCAGCAGAGAAACAAATATGGTATCACACAAATCTGAGGAAAATTATATGGAATCAGCATGTACTTTGCAGTTTTAAAACAAACAACTGTATCTGATTGCAACTATCTGCAGTTTAAAAAAAAAGCTTATAGTGAGGTGTTGAACCGAGCTGATTGACATTACTCATGGCTCGAACACGAGAGATGTCAGTTGAAACAAAGGAGAAGTTTGTCAAACTTTTCAAAGGTAAATATTCACTGAATGTTGCAAAAGATGTTAGTTGTTTGCAGTTAGTTGTGTCTATATCTGGACTAAAATCAAATGGGAAGGTTGTAGAAGTGAAGAATACTGGTAGACCAAGGAAGACGTCAAAGCATCAAAAAGCAATATGCATTCAAAACAGAAAATGCACAACAAAGCAAATGAGGAACAAATGGGCAGAAAGTGAAAAAAGTGTGACCGGACTGTAAGAAATCACCTGAAAGAACTGGGATTTACATAAAGAATAACCATCAGTAACATGTAAACAGAAAAGAACAAGGTTCCAGTGGGCTAAAGAAAGGCAATCTTGGACTGCGGATGACTGGATGGGAGTGATATTCAGTAATGAATCACAAATCTGCATTGGGCAGGGTGATGATGCTGGAACTTTTGTCAGGTGCCATTCCAATGAAATTTATGACAACTGCCTGAAGAAAACATGCAAATTTCCTCAATCATTAGTGATATGGGGTTGTACCGTATGTCAGGTGAGATGACAGTCACTGCATCCTTTATAAATGCACAAGTTCATATTAAGATTTTGGACACTTTTCTTATTCCATCAATTGAAAGGATGGTTGGTGATGAAGACATACTTTTTAGGTTGATAATGCATCGTGCCATAAGGCAAAATCTGTGAAAACTTTCCTACAGGAAAGACATAAAATGTCAATGGGATGACCTGCAAATAGTCTAGACCTCAATCCAACTGAATATCTGTAGTGGAAATTAAAGAAAATAGTCCATAAGGATCCAACTTGCAAAGCTGATCTAGCAACTGCAATAAGATAAAGTTGGAGACAGATTGATGAAATACTGTTTAATCCACGCCTCAGTTAATTCAATAAGTAAAAAGTCAGAGGGGGTGCAACAAAGCACTAGTGGTGTTTTTATTTGGTGATTCCATATCATTTTCCTCAGATTTGTGTGATTCCATATTTTTTTTCCTATGTTTGATATGTTAAAACAGTTGTTATTGACTACAGTGTTCTTTCTTTTTAGTGTTTTGTATACAGCCAGAAGGTTGGATTGTTGACTGAAAATAGTTTTGTGGCATGTATGTGTTTGTTTGTTTTGTCTACACAATTAAAGATTTTAATTAACAGAGTGGTGATTCTATACTTTTTGCCAGGGGTTGATGGTTTTAAACTGCCTAGCTAATATGGTCATGCTGGTTTTGACTTGATTGTACCTGGTCTCAACTTGCCTGCCTGCAACCAACTAAAAATGTTAAGAAAGCAAGCAAACAAACGAAAAAACTGCTATAAAACCATGACTAGATTGACTATATGACCTGTTTTCCAGCAGGGTCATCATGAAGAAGCCACATCAGTTCACTGAAGGAAATTATTTCATTAAACCCTTTTCACATTTCCAGTTTTCTTGGCAGTGGAAGTCATCATAGTTGGGTGAACTTAGAGAGCAGTCAATAGGGTTTTTTCTACGTTCCAATTTACTAAAATAACCTTTCAATTATTATATATTTTTTTTGTAACTTGTTACAAACATGATATATAGTAGCTTTATGTGTTTTAAAAAATCTAAGTATTAAAAACTTTTAAGGATTTTAGAAGCTGATAACTGATAAATGCGTAATCACCATCTTGTGAAAAGGGTCCAGTAACGAGAAAATCTATGTCGCGAGGGATGACAAATGTTGATATTCCCTATATATATTTTTTTTACTTTGAATCTTTCATACTTTGACACTATAAGCTAAAAAAAAGCTTATTTTAACTTTGCTGCACATCATTTGCATATTTAGGAGCTCGTTCTGCCACACAGTACAGCCAATTGTGACTTTTTAGGTTTAGGATTTTTTTAGTTTTTCTGAGAACTGAGTGACATAACCCGGTTTTAGTGATATTTAAGACAGCAGGAAAAAGTCAGAACATCAGTCGTCAGAATTGACACAGTATAGACACATTAGAAGTGGCTATTTCCTTTTCGGTGACAGATACAAACTTTGTTGTGATTAACTGACCAAGAAATATTTATTTAAAAAAAAAACGATATAGTTTTAGTAATAATTTGGATCAGTTTTCATTATTATATACTACTATAATTTTGTTGTGCTTTTGTTGTTAACATTTTATTTTACAACAGTGTTTATTATAAATACAATGTTTATATAATAGTATCTTTTTCCTTTACTCCAGTTATCTTAATATTATGTGAATATAAAAATATAGCTTTTTTTGTATTTTTACATGTTGTATTAAATGTATGGATTGATTGATTTATTGCAGATTATATTTATTGCAAGTAACACAAATTATTTTAATTGATTAGATTTTTATGGACATTTTGTGGTTGAGGTTGACCTGATAGCTAGAAAGGATGTTGTGATGAACTCCAGCAGGAATCATATCATTCCCAATATAGATGGCTGAGTAAACTTCACTTGGCATTGCTGAATGTTCTATCTTGTGTTTGTTAAAACCTCTCTAAGTCTGTGTTTGTTTGTGCTCGATCTGTTCACAGAGGCCTGTGCTGTGGGGAAGAACGAAAACCCTCTCTTTTCTCCTCAGAATAAATCTTTGTCCTTAATTTCATCCTTATCATATCCAGTGCTGCTGTGTTTGATCTGCTTTGATCCTATTTCAGAGTCATTCTGAGGTAAGAAACCACATCAGATCACACAAGAAAGTTATTTAGATTGATAATATAATATATCTAGCTGTTAATCTCATACATGTTCATACTTTAATGTGTTCTAAGCTAAAAAAATTGGATTAAACCATTAGCATCTCACTCTAAAAATTATATTTTCCTATTTAAGGTTAACTTTTGTAAATTGGAAAATGAAAAGGTGCTATTTAAGTTGATATATAGGAACTATACTTTTGTATTTTTTAAGGAAGATGCCCAGGATGCTAATGGTCAAATAAGTTTACAACAACTTTATTTATTTTTTCTTTTATTTTAACTCTTAAAACACATGTTAGTGTGTATCGTTTACATATTTCATTTTTTTCAAAACAGCAATGATTGCATACTACTATACCATTTAAACCTGATATTTAAAAAAATTACCAAAAGTGTACCAAAGCCTGACCGTTCAGAAGAACAGTAAGTTTGTTTATTCAGTTTGAAAAGTCTGTTGAGGTTGAGTAGGAAGAAGTAAATCTAAACCAAGTGTGCCCAATAAAGGTTGCCAAGCTTTCAAATTAATAGGAAATTTATAACAGATAAACATAAGCTGGCTAAAATAATGAACATATAGAAAAGTGTGTAAATATTTTGAAATATAATATAATATAATATAATATAATATAATATAATATAATATAATATAATATAATTAATATAATATAATATAATATAGTATAATATAATATAATAGAAATAATATAATATAATTAATATAACATAATAGAGCTAAACTGAACTGAACTTAAACAACAAAAACTGAACTACACTGTTCCAGTTACTATGACCATTTATGTGAAGCTGCTTTGACACAATCTACATTGTAAAAGCGCTAAACAAATAAAGCTGAATATAATATAATATACTATAATATAATAATTTAATATAATATAATATAATATAATATAATATAATATAATATAATATAATATAATATAATATAATATAATATAATATAATAAACACACTTCATACACTGGTACATAAGACATACAAATACTTTAATGAATAACAATACACATCACGTCTTTGATTCTCTAACACACACGAAGTTTATGGATAAAGTTTGGCTTCTTAAATTCAAGGATTTGTGATTCAGCTTAGTAGTCCTGCTTCTGCTTTTATCACCAGCAGGTGGTGCTCTTCAACAAGCCTTAAAGATATAGTTAACCCAAACATTTAAATTCTGTCATCATTTACTCAACTTCTTTTTTCTGTTGGACACAAGAGAAGATATTTTGAAAAATGCTGAAAACCTGTGACCACTGACATACATATTATATTTGTTTTTGGTTAAAGGTTTTTGTCTTTCTCTAAAATATCTTCATTAGTGATTAATAAAAATAAGGAAAATCATAAAGCTTTGGAACAACTTGATGATTAGTAAATAACGAGTAAATAATTTTTTGGGTGAACTATCCCGTTAAGTTCAGGGTTGCCAAGTACTCGGTTTTCATGTTTTTTCTCTTCTTTTACATTATGATTTTGCTTTATTGCATAAATGACATTTACATTGTTGTGTTAAAAATATTGTAGTCTATCAAATATATCATTCTAGCATTGATTAAAACTGTATTAGTAGTATGTTGAAAGTACACATTTAAAAGATGCAGGCCAGGAGCACAACTGTTCAGGAGAGACTGTGTGACTGTTG